AAATGAACATAAAAGACAAGCAGGTCAAGACAAAAATTAGAGTAAAGCTCCGAGATAGTATAGATATTAATCTTAACTGGTTGGTAATCAGTTGAGTGAAATAATTCGGTTCGGTTAACCGATTAAGAAAATTTTTCTCGGTTCAAATCACTAATCTCGACAACCATCAAGTCATATTCGATGAATTTTTTTTATTTGCATTCTACAAATTCGTAGAATTCGAATAAAAAAAAATTTATCAAATTTGGCTTAGTGGTTGTCGAAATATCTTCACTCAAATTTTTAAAAAAAAACTCAAAACGTATATCAAAACAAAAGCTGCGCCAAAATTTTTCTCAAACTTTGCGCGAAGATAGCTCGACAAACACTAAGTCAAATTCGATGAAATTTTTTTTATTCGAATTCTACGAATCTGTACAATGCAAATAAAAAAAAATCCATCGAATTAGACTTGATGGTTGTCGAGATATCTTCGCGCAAAGTTTGAGAAAAATTTTGGCGCAGCTTTTGTTTTGATATACGTTTTGAGTTTTTTTAAAACTTTGAGCGATGATATCTTGACACCCACCAAGCCAAATTCGATGAATTTTTTTTTTATTTGAATTCTATGGATACGTAGAATTCAAATAAAAAAAATTCATCGAATTTATCTTGGTAGGTGTCGCTCAAAGTTTAAAATTTTTTAATCACATGGGGTATGAATAACAAAAATAGGGGGTACGAATAACAATTCCCTTTTTTTATTTTATTTTTTTAATTTCAATTCTCTTTTCGTTATTCTTTTACCTAAAATCAAATAATCCTTTTCGTTAATAATGCCATCAACTAAATCCACTCATGATTCTGACACTATAGCTGAACACGTAAGCAAGATATTCTTCAGTGATGGGAAATGCATAAAAACGAATAACCACATTATGGTTAAAGACTATCTGGTAGAGAATGGAATCGGTAAATAATTATTCGAGTATCGATCGAAAATTTCGAGCATCGAAATAAACTTCATTCATTGAGTTTTTAATTCTGTCAATCGGTCAAAATTGAAATTCAATTGTTTTTGATCGTGATAAATTTTTTTTTGATTTATTATGTATTAATTAACATTACTGCATTACCGTAAAATCTCGAAATAACGCGCAGGGTGAAATTACAAATTTCGGCCCGAATTAAGCTTAATTCGGGCCAAGATTCGAAATAACGCCCATGCCCGCTATTTCGAGATTTTACGGATGATGGTGAAATCGAATGATCGTGAAATCTGGAAGCCTTACCGTATGTTCGTTATTTAGAGGTTTGGCCCGAATTAAGCTTAATTTAGGCCGAAATTTGTAATTTCACCCCTGCGCATTATTTCGCGAAAATACGGTAATTTGAAAATATAAACCTTACTAAAACCCTATACTCTTTTATTATAAACCCTAACCCTAATCCTACCTTAAAAATTTTTAAAAATCGTATATTAAATAGGGTTTGATTTCACGATCATCTGTGACATTTAATATTAAATAGTATCTTCTGTTGTTAACATTCTCGTAAAGCTCTCTTTTAATAGTGAAGAGAACGAATCTAATTGTATTGATATTTCGGTCTATCATGACTAATAAAACACCGTTAAGGGTTTATTAAATCTGTCTTTTTATTAAACTTTCAAAATCAAGATGATTATCTACATATCTTGCTCTTTCTGAACTTGATTTTGTGAAACGGGCGCGAAAATTTATTACAAGCATACCAAGTGAACGCTTATTTTCAGACACGGGAGATGTTATAAGTGCGAAAAGAACATTATTAATTTAAAGTACAATAACTTAATCAGTGAAATTTAAAAAATAATATAAATGTAAATCACAAACTTTATGTTATATTAAATTTATATTTTAAAAAGCTCGATGAACATTCGAACATCGGTCAAAATTTTTTTACCGATGCTCGAAAGTACAAGTTTGTAACCAAACAATGCTCGAAATTCATCGATTCTAATCTCTACTATCTGGCAACCACGGCAACTAGCATACTTGCAGAGAATTTTTCTGGAGGAGCCGATCTAGTTGTTCCATAAAGATGTAGTTTTGAATCAAATACTATCCGTGCATGCATGTGTTTGAGATCCTGTTTTGGCATAAGAACTTAGAAGAACTTAGTATAAAAAATGGTACGCGTTAGAGAAAAGATTGTATCTTTGCTATAACTTTGCTTAATTTGCGGAAATTATAATAAGTATGCTTAGATTAAATCATAAAATTGTTATAATATCGCTTAGCTTTTTATAAATTATAAAATTCATGCAGTGTTAATTTTATGAATTAATTTTATAAATTACGACCTTATCTACACGGAGGCAATCCCCAAAATTCCTGGTCAGTCCCTGGTCGGAATTGATCAATTTTGCCCAAGATCACTAAAATTTGCACCCGGAAAATGTGTACCAGGTTGGGTTCGGATGATGGCCCGGATGATGGTCCGGGAAATGTCCGAATTTTTACGTTTTTTTTCCTTTTACTGAGACTTTATTTTTCAATTATGGCGATAATATAAAGCAATATTTAATACAATTTACAACACATGTCTAATGCATAGAATAATACAAATAAACTTGAATTTCGATATTATAATAATTTATTTCTTTTTAACCATTTGGTTTGTTTTCTGTGACGTTCTTCGATAATTTATGTTATCGTGCAAACTCTTATGATCATAGATTTTTTTCTTCTTGTTATTTTTTGTACGTTATTACATAAGCACAACAA